GAAGCGAGGATGACTGGCTCAGATGGAGACATCTGAAATTAGATCAACAGGGATTAATGACAGGTCCCTGTTATTTTACTTCTGAAATTCCACTGCTTTATATATTCCAAGCCCAAAAACTGAAGACGCAGATGACAAAGTTGGGCGGACAGTGTGCACGTGCCCAGTGCTGTTCACAGCTTAAGTCTGTCGGAAACAGACCCCACAGCTGCATCTCTGCATTTCAGAGCCTTGCATCTCTACATGCTCTCTTGTCACTGCTTTTCCTTCTGGTTCTGGGCTTAGGAATCTACCTGGAACGTACTGCAACAATGACTGGACAGTCAGCACCCAGCACAAAACCGAGCTCCTAATGAAAAATAAAAAAAAAGAGAGTGAGTTTACAACACAAAACTGAACATATCCTGCTATCAAGTCCTCCCCATCTACAGCAAATCCTGTGTGCTACCCACATCTCCTTCCAACCTTCTAAACTTCTAAACACCATCGACAAGATAAGCAGGCAGCACCACATTTCCTCTTAGCACTGAAACATTTCAACCCAACGAAACTTTTTGCCCCCATGGGTGGGCAAGTTACGCATATCACATCACGAGCAAAGATAATTCACGTTCCGTTTCTCAAGGACTCGCAGTAGGGTAGCAAATATCTTTGAAATAGCTTTTTTCTTCTCTTTAATATCTAAATGAGATGTCTTTCCCACCAGCGCAGTGCCTAGCCCAGCCCTGAGGCATTTGTGAAAGCTCCGGAGAGTCTGTTTACACTCGGATTGCACAGAAACGTACCTTCACTCAAGACCTTCTTTATTATTTTGCTTGAAACCTGATTTTGCGGAGCAGTCCAATTAACCTTTTCAGGCCTAAACTACCTTAGACAGTTCAATTACGTGGGTAATAAAAGAGGTAAAAGCTTTTAACATCCATTAACTGCCATTCCAAGAGAGCCAGGCCGTGTCGACCACGTGAACTCCTACTTTTCCTAAGAGGACCGTACATTACAACCATCCTTGGAGACAGCCTTACGCCGCTATCTATTCCACTTTGTAGCCAAATTTATCTTCAAGATGTATTTCCATGAACTGGGGCAGGTCGCCGTGTCCCAGTTTGATTTGCTTTGTTATTGCCCAGGGGAACAAACCTCTGCTGGTCTCTTGTACAGAACAAAACGCCGCTGTGCCTGGAGATCAGGCACATGTAACGGTACCTAAATGCACCTCAAGCATCTTTAACCCTTTTACTCTAGTTTTTACCTTATCTCAGATATGTTTGAGAAGAGATTTCTGATGCAAAGGTGAACTTTCAGCTTTTATGGCAATGGGAATTCAGACTGGACACGGTCCTGGGTTGACCCTGCTTGAGCAGTGGGGTTGGAGGAGGTGATGTCCAGAGCCTCCTCAACCCGATGGATCTTGCAAAGGGACTGGCCAAAATCCCAGCCCAGCCCAGCACCTGAATTTGCTACCAAGGCACAGCACGCTCCACCAACACACAAGATAGAAATTGAAAAGGAACAAAGGAAAGAAAAACCAGCAGCTAACTGGGTTAGGATTCAGCCTAAAAAGCCAAGGCAGTAGCTATAACATGCTATGAATGGCCAAAAAATCAAAGAAATTGTGATGACAGATAGTCACATTGGACATTTTCTCAGTGATAAAGGCTTAAAGCTTGACTCTGCATTAGGAGCAGGCTCAATCTCACCTCCCCAGCTGCCCCACCTGGAGCCCAACGTTATGGAAATCCAGCACTCGGCTCCGGGGCTGAACAACAGCATCAGCAGAACCACCTCGGTTACAAAAAGAACCAGCAGGAGCAGCAGAAAAGCACGTAATCACACCAAAACAGATGACTAGATGGGATTATTTTGTGCTTGGCTTCCGTCATGCTTCCTTGCTTTTCTCCCTTCCTTCTGCACCTTATCTCGATACCAAATTGTACCGTGCACTTACGAAAAAGATCAAATTTGAGTGATCAGCTCAGAATTTTAATGCACACAGCCCAGCTACAACGCTGCGTGCTCATGATGGGGGTACTGGGCTCTATAGCTAGGGAAAATTAATTTTATCTTCTGCAGTACAAACTCTTCTTCCTCTAAAACAAAAATCCATTTTTGAGGCCAAGCGTGAATTTCTTTTTTAAGGCACTGAGTGAAACTTGGGATATCAACAAAAAATTCAGCTTTCATTTGAGTATTACTGTGCTGAAAGTAGATTACAAGGCACTGCTTCCCCGTCAAGAAAATGAACGTACTGACCTTGGTAAGACTGGAAGGGGATGGGCTACAACATTTTTAGGCTGCTGTGAGCAGCCTAAAATTCATTTGTGAGCCACGCAAATGAGTATTTCTGGTAACTACTTACTCAGTTTCCCGTTATTCATACTGAAAGATGGATGATCTAACACAGAAACTTTGATATTTTAAACTCATTGAAGAATGAGTTTAAAATTTGGGTTTACAGGATTTAAAAATGAGTTTAAAGTTGCCCAGGCTGACACAAAGCTCAGCTCCCTGAGTTCTTTGCTCTCCCAAATGTGTTTAAGTCATTAGACATAAAAAAGTGCACATCCCTGCAGTGGGCAAAGTGCACCTCAATTTCTTAATCCTTAGATACACCAAATATACTGTAAATAAACCCAGCCCCTCAATGTACTGGTTGGCTTTTCCTTGCTAAAGGAGACTCGAGGAAACAATATTTCCTCTCCTCGACTTTTGATGGGTCATCCTGGAGCCATCCTTCCCCATCCTTCTTTCACCTCCCCCAGCACCTTGGAGGGGCAGGGCAGGGTAACACCAGCTCCTGGTTGTCCTCCAGCCTCCTCCTCCAAGAGAGGGAACATCGATTTCCTGTCTTTGTGGGGGAAAAAAATAGAGATTTATTTCTATGGGCGAGCTTTACGCTGGTCAGATTAATGGAAACAGCAGGAATGGCACAAATCTAATCCTGTAAGGCTGGACAGAAGAACAAAACATTTCACAAAGCAGATCCAACACCATGATACGCAGCCAGGTCAACCCAGGAAGCATCCAGGCAGCCAGAAAACAAGGTCAAAGCATAAAGGTATCTTTTTGTTTTCTCCATTTTGGGGGCTATTTAGTTCCAGGTGTTGGAAAACGTGTGCCAATGCAAGGAGCAGGTTCCAACTACCACGACTCCATCTAAGCCATGCTCATAAAACTTACTCCCACTGTGAAATGAACTGCTACTCTCTATTTAGGAAAATCTAATACAGAAGCAGCTGATATTCTAATTTCAGGACCCAAAATTCAAATATTTAAAATTAGATATCATCAAGGCTTAAAAAAAATATGGTGTTATTTTGCAAGTGAGTGATACTCTCTAGAAAGCTTTAAATTCTCCCCTCATTTAGTGATTTATTTTACTTGCACAAACTAAGCATAGAATGATTTTTCCCCACTGCTTTGGAAATTTGTTTTAATTACAAGTCTGGGCAGTGTAATTGGGGAAGCATGTTTAGCTCACAAAAAAAAAAATTGGATGGGTTAGAAGAAAAATCCTCCTAACACTCCCTCGGCTCTACGGGTCCTTCAACCCAATTTGACGTGAATGAAACCATTATTGTTCTTTTGACTCCTGCTGAGCCATTATGTTAACGGTTTTCCAGAGACCTGGGTAGCATTTTCCTACATGTGTTCATTATTCCACCAGCCAGGATTTGGGTCCTTACACAGCAGAGGTTTCAACGTTTAAAATACTTTTTGTTCTACGTTCTGAGAAAGCAACACGCATTTCAGATTGGCGTATGGGTGGGGAGTTGGGATTAGCTGAGAAAACTCTGTCCCCCTCTTTCCCTCTTTTTAGGCAGCAATCAATTTAACATATTAAAAACTGCAGCAATGAAGAGTCAATCAAGCAAATGAAACTGAACACACCCACTGAGAGATATTTCCTGCCATAAAAATGCTCCCACATTGGATGGAAGAGTCACACCCTAATAAAATTTAACAGAGAAAACAATAAAAAGGGTTAAAAGGTAATAAAAGGATTATTATCAAGCTACATAAACTAAGCCAAACCTTTAAGTGATATTTTATTGCATTAAAATGCGAGCTCTGATGACCCAGCTGGTGTTTTAACTGCTTTAGAGCCAAAATAATAACTTTTTTTTTTTAAAAAAAAACCTTGTGCAGCTATGTACTAGATGGTTGCTGTACAATCTTCCTGAAATAAAGTTATTTTCTGCATCTTATTTGAAAGCATTTAATAAATACCATTCCAAAACCAACTGGCTACTTTGGCTCCAAAAAGGAAAGCAGGATTCAAGTAATTGATACTTCCACAAATACTTCCTTTGCAACAGCACCAACGTAAGTGACATAAACAGGGGACAGTTTGGTATCTAATGCTGTTCCTGTGACAAGTCAGTTAAACACAGAGGAGGTACACGTAATTTTCTTTACCAACCAGCACGGATGAGCTGTAACCTCTGGTTTTCATCAGAAGACATTTCAAGTAAGATTTTATGTTTCTGACACATGCATAGATTGCTTTAAAACGAGCACAGAATTGCTTTAAAATGAGCACAGAACCCGCAGGCTGATCAAGGCAACAAAACCATTTCAGGAGAACGAGCACTCAAAAAAGCAGTAAGGAGGCTGATGACAACTGAGCTTAAATGCCAAACTCCTTCCGAGCAGAACTTCTACCACATATCTAAAGGCCAGAAATAAACTCATTAAGACGTGTTCCTGAAGTCGGTTTAAAATAGCATCTTATATCCTGTGTAGGTACCATATGGACCAGAAACTCCAAAGCTATTAGCTATAAAAAGAAGCACCACGCAGCTGATGCAAACCTCCAATTTCCCAGCAATATTTAGTCTTCCAGAAGGCCCAAGACATCATCCAAATACCTTGAGAATGCAAAGAAACTTCCCCTGTAGGAAGAGCAGCACTTTTGAGTTAGGGATGACAATTAAGGCTTAGCAGAAAGCCTCAATATCCAGTTTCTGCACTCCTGAAATGTCTCGTATTGATTTTCTCACCTGGTAGGGGCACGGGATGTGATACTCCCTGCAGCGTTCTTGAATCCACGTCGTCTCCCACACACCTCGATAAGCCTGCTCATAGAAATAGCAGCCAATTACAACCAACAGTGGCACGAGGTACAGAACACTGAACACGCCAATCCGGATCATGAACTTCACCAGCTTGTCCTGGTTCTCTTTTTCTAACGGGATTTCAATGCGAACCCGATTGAGAGAGATAATGCCAGCGAGCAGGAGGGAAACTCCGACAACAACATAGAGGCAGAGGGGTGCAAGGACAAAGTATCTCAATGCATCCACGTCATAGAGGCCAACAAAACATACGCCGCTAATATTGTCACCTTCAATTTTATTCATTGCTAAGAGGATGATGGTGAGAGTTCCCGGAATGCCCCAGGCACTGGCGTGGAAGAGCAACGCTTTCTTCTCGATCGCTTCGCTGCCCCATTTTGGCACGGCTGCCAAGAACCAGGTGATGGTGAGAATGACCCACCAAACACTGCCAGCCATGGTAAAGAAATAGAGCACCATGAAAAGCATGGTACAAGCTTTGTTGTGAGAGCCCTGGGTCACCGTGGAAGCCTTGTACTGGGCAGGGCTCGATGCGTTACACGCTACTCGGTCTTCAAGCAGAAAGCCGATGAAGAAAATTAACGACACCATCATGTAACAGACAGCGTAAAATATGATCGGTCTTTCTGGATAGCGAAATCTTGTGACATCGATCAGAAAAGTTAAAAAGGTAAACAAGGTAGCAGAAAGGCAGACGATGGAGATCACTCCGATGAAGTAGCGAGCAAAGGAGAGCTCCTCACGACGAAAGTACATATTTGGGCAAGGAGGGGAACAGTCCCGTACCCTCAGGAAAGAGTAACCCAGATCGGGGTCGATTTTCAACTCTCGAGGACACCAAAAGCCATAATCCCTCTGCACTGCCATTGGGGCCTCTTCTGTGGGCTCCCCACCTAAACTGAGGTCAACGAGGCGAGGATACGGCTCATCGCAATCCGGGAATCTAGAAAGGAAGACAAGAATTATTTACAAGAAATACACACACACACTCTGCAAAGCCCAGCAACATCATTTATGTGTCTGCCTTTAGACACACGGACTGGAGAGAAAACAAAGTTAATCCAAATAATGAATGGGTAATGAGTGAAATACCACATTACGTGTAAACAAAGTCTAGAACTTATTTTCCCAGACCTCAGTGGATGGTGAAACTACACAAAATAATACAGAAATAAATGGATAAGGTGCTTACTGGGGCCTTAAGCATAAAGGTGAGGATACAAAATCCATCTCAGGAAGTCTCTAAATTTAGGTTTACTGTAAACTCAAGTGATGTGCTAAAGAAAAATGACTTTATAAACCATTTTAAACCCCTTCCCTATGCTACTACACTAGCTATCAGACAGGACAGTGAGCTAGCTAGACCAAAAATCCAACCTAACACTGCTACTATTATTAACAAATTGGAATTATGACAAAGATGCAGTTAGGTAAAACTGATGGCAGTCTAAGGTTTGCTGGAGAAGCAGTCCGAAGTTTTAAAGGAGAGACTGGAGGGATTCCATGCATAGCTGCCTCTGCCAGATGTTATCTCCTCAGCAAGCACAGCATAAGCTAAATGTGCTGGTTCCTCTGCCATAGTTCATGTTCTGGCCCTCTAACAGTAACACAGCAAAGCTTTGGTAGCTTTATCTCTGGTTTTGAAATTTCACTACTGGTGTGGGCCGTACCTAAAGGACCCGGGCACCCATTTGGAGCACAGGCTAAGAGCAATCTTTGATCCAGATTATCAGCACCTGGAAACATCCTCTGACTTAACTCTGTTGCTAAAAGAAGTTTTTCATCCTCTCCTATCAACTGTAAGAGAGACTATTTCTTCCTGACCATGTTCCTGTACTTTATTAGCTGTTACAGTCACTTATTAGAAAAAAAATCAGAAAGATATTGCTTTCATTTACACATATATTCTGTTTCAAATAGATTAGAACATCATCAAACCCTTTGCTCACAGAATCAAAGAATATCCTGAGCTGGAAGGGACCCACAGGATCACTCAGTCCAACTCCTGGCTCCACACAGGCCCACCCAAAAATCAAACCACACGTCTCAGAGAGTTGTCCAAATGCTTCTTGAACTGAGGCAGGCTCAGTGCCGTGACCACCTCCCTGGATTTGTGTAACTTAGAGATGAAAATGTCTTTCCATATGTGCTCAACGAGAGGTAGAATCTCTGAAAACAGAGATTTTACACACTCTGCAAAACCAGCTGGCTTCCCCTTCAGAGAAAGGGGCTATTAATCTCCAGTGTGTGTAACTTTGCAGAACTCTCAGAGGAATTTCGAGCAGTATCATCTATTCTACTTTGGTACAGCAAAGAAAGCCAGGTCTGCAGATATGGCAAAGAAGAGGAAAACTAGATTGGTAAATTCATTCATTCAATATGCACGCACATCTTACAGCAATTGCCTACAGAAATTTTCAATTCATCTCCTGGGCAGATGATAGAAACATGAATTCAGTTTCCTCCCCAGGAAACGAGCTGTGACACAAACGGAAGGGAAAATAAGGGCACTGGTAATGGAACACGTTAAAACTGTCCGTTTTAGTATGATCTGGGATGTTTTAAGATCTGAAATGTTGCTCTGGGATCCTGAAAGAAACAAGGCAGGTTTGCTCACCTGGTACACTCCATATCCTCGGGCCACGAGACCCCAAACATCTCCATGAGTTTGGAGCACTCGCTGTATGCCCTTTGACAGAGCCTGCGGCACGGCAGGGTGACGCGGCCGTACTCCATGCACACGGGAGCGTAGAGGGCACACAGGAAGGGTCGAAAATCTCTGGAGCATTCCAAATTCACCATCGGATGAAATGGCTGGAAAAGAAAAAGGCAGAATTCAAAAGCTTCAAACGGCAGCTTTGTAGAACATTTCAGCAGGAAGCTGTAATTTGACTAATGAGGTGTTAGGGCTTTTGCAACCAGAACCTTCTTTTTCTGAACTTTTCCTGCTGGAAGAAATGATCATCATAATACAGCACTTACGCATTTTTAGGAAGGCAGGCAAGTAAGAAGCCTGGGGACAATGACAAAGACTCACAAGGGACATTTACGTACTCAATTTGCATCAAAATCGATGGGAATTAGACAGCTAAACACCTCTGAGGATTCAGGCTCAGGCTCACACTCTCCAATAAATGTCGCATGCACTTCTTTGCACCGCTTGGTTAAATGACGGACGGCATGAATGGCTAAGTGCTTATTTAAGAGGGATAACATGAAAAAAAAAATTCAATTGACCAGACCACAATCTGAGGAATATCAGGCAATGCAACACTCCTTCACAGTACGGAAATAAAACACACTGTGATTTTTTCAAATATGATTTTCGGATCCCTACACAGTAACTGTAAATCCTACCTCTATTCCTTCAATATTTTCGGCAGGGCAGCAGAGTGAAGTTACAGCAGGTATGCCTCTTTCTACCTAACCAACAGAAATCTCTGAAATGAAAGCTGGAAGGAAATGAATGAGAGGTGTCCTGTGCTACTCGTTGCCTTGTAGCAGGTTTAAGTCACGGTGGTAGTGGTGACAGAAGCACTTGGGAGCACTGAGGGAAAATCGATCACAAATAGCCAACGTGTAGCTGCTCTTAAGCCTTTCTGAAGGTAAGAAGTAAGGAAAGAAATAGAACAGAGACTTGTGACTTCATGAAAAGCAGTGCATGTTGATAACCCATGTTATCCAGCATGGATTCATTTTGTTCTTATGGCTTTACAGATCTTCAGGAGGCAATATCCAATTCCCATCGCTGACCACCACCCAAAGCCTCACCGTATCTTTAGATACTAACCCAAGATCAATTACTTTTTCTGTTAAGGGTTACTACAAAATAGCAAAATACATCAGAACTTACAAGAATAAAACAAAAACCAGAATGAAACGAAGCACTGTAGGGTTGTTCAATGACTCTGCTACCTCCAAAGTGCAGAACCAGCAGTGGCCCTCCAGCAAGCCATTTCTTTTCCTTGGCTTGTGTTTCAAATAAAGCTTGAAGGGAAAAGGTGACAATTGCTTGCTCAAGGGCAATACTGCAGGGTAAGCTAACACAAACCCTCATCCAGATACATTTTTCTAAGCCCATTATGCTGAAACCAGTCCCCTCTCCACAGCCTGGCAAGATTAGCAAGAAATCTAATCTTCAGTCTGCTGCAGTAGCAGAAATGAACCTGCTATATATAGAAAAACCTAAATCTTGCTGCAGCTGAAGAGTAGGCTGTTTTGAGAGCTAGGAAGATTACATTTTTAGCAGCAGTTTCCTGGAAAGTCTTTTAAACCAATTCAACGTTTTCTTTCCCCAAACTACAGGGCAGAGCAGACCAGCACCAAAGAAAGAGGTCATCTGCTGTGATTATTTGAGTGAGAATTACCAAAAATAGTAAGGCAAAGCCTCACATTTCAGTTCTTTCTTACCTCTTCCTTAAGACTGCCCTTGCAAGAGGGAATACAAGACACAACCACGTTGGGATTTTGTTGAAGTTTGTAAATAGAATTAGTATTTACCAAGCTGATTGAATTCCCTCCGGTGCTGCAGGTTTCTGGAAATGCTGTCACATAACAACGGAGCCGTAACTATTTGGCAATGGCTTACCTGAGAGGCAGCAAAAACCTCTGCAGCTATCGACGAGGAAAAAGGAACCAACGGTTGGAAAGTATTTACATTTACAAGCTCATTGTTACCCACAGAAAACTTTCTCCTTGACTAAATATTTACTCTTTTTTTTTTTTTTTTTTAACGATTTTCCATTAAGATGTTTCCGAAATTTCTCTTTTCCTGCTCTCCCTCGCTCAGGATGTGTTTGGTTTGCACAAAGCTCCCTCCTTTAGGGAGGTGCCAGCTCACCTCAAGGTGTGCACGGGGGAAAGCCACCGCAGGGCAAGGACGAAGCAGGAGGCAGGCTCGAGGGAGCACAAAGGCACCAGCATTTCCTTGCACCCTGCTCATCTTCCTCTGGGCTGGTGGCTGCTGCAATGGCCAGTCAACCCCAAATTTGTGCAGGATTTGCTGCTCCACCTGGATGCACACATGGGACCTGCTGGGATTCATCCCAGAGAGCTGGCTGGTGTCATCGCAGCACCTCTATCAATTATTTTTCAATGGTTTTGGGAATCCAGAGAGGTCCCAGTTGACTGGAAGCTGGCAGATGTGGTCCCAATGTTCAAGAAGGGCAAGGAAGATCCTTGGGCGTGGAGCTGGGACAGGGCAGGGTCAGGCTGGGGGTGAGGGAAAGGTTCTGCACCCAGAGGTGGTCGGGCACTGGGACAGGCTCCCCAGGGCAGTGGGCACAGCACCGAGCTGCTGGAGTTCAAGAAATGTTGGGCCAACGCTCTCAGATAAAGGATCTGCAGAAACTCACTCCCTTCTGGCATGGCAGCTGCAGGATGAAGATGCTGGAACATCTGAGGTAACGCTGCTGTAATTGAATCTTCACTGGCAAAGTCCCTCGTGCCCCAGAGGGCACGTTAGCTGCACTTAAGGTTCTTTATCCCTGCAAAGAGCAAGTCTGGTTTTGACTATGGTCTTGGCATACTCCTCAAAAGACAGTAGAGACATCCTCACCCCAAACAACACGGAAGAAATCTACTTAAATAGGAATAATTTAATAGGACTGCTCCACTAGGGCTGGCTGTTCTGCTTCCCAGCAGCTCCAGGCCTCTCTCTCTGTTCTGTCTCTTGAACTGCAGGCAGACAAAAACTCTCCTATGATTTATATCAAGTCCTTTTATTTTAAAATCATGGAGAGGCTACACTGGACAACAGAAAAAGGGAAAACTTGACAACCACTCCTTGTTAAAGCTGAGGAAGAGAAGCTTCTTTCAACCAGCACTGTGCCCGTAAGCAGCCTAACTCTAAAATTATCTTACTCCTTCTTTGCAGCTCCCAAAATGAAAAGTCACTTCCATCTACAGATTGTTTTTCACTATTAAAAATGAAGGCAGGGAGATTAAGAGAGGGTTTTTTTTTTTTTATGATCTTGCCCGGGGAAGCAGCGCAAATGATGACATTTAGCCCATTCAGCCCCACTCCACTTCGGCTCCTAACAAAAGGCTCTCTGTTCGAGTGGGTTGTGCTTTTGAAGGCCGCCTGTTGAACAACTCAACGTGCAGAGGAAAAGGGGGGAAAAAAAAAGGAGAAGAGGAGATAAAACAGCCAAACAAATTTCAACGATTCAGGCCAAGTCCTGGGAGATCCAGGCAAGCAAAGAGATAAATGTTTAAGAAGAGATAAATACCTGTGTTGCTCCTGAAGGTACTTAAGCACTTAAAATAAGCCAGATCACTTAACGGAGTAATGTCTGTGAAGCTGTGCACCCCCTGGTCCTTCTACCTCTGAGAAAAAGCTTTATGGCCATGTAAATTCCCTCAAGGCCAGTGACAGCAACTGCATTATGAGCCTGATTTCTTTCAGGCTGAGTCCCCTCGCATCCCTCCCCTGCTCTGCCACGCAGGTGTGTATCAGATAACTCATCTATGCTTTTCTCTGAGCTCTCCACCCTGCAGCTCAGTCTCTTCTTCCCCTTTTCCCCAGAATCTTCTTATTCATTAGCATAGGTCCTTTCAGAAATCTCCCTGCTCCCAGCAGCGTGGCCCCGGGTCCTTCTGTCCCTACAGCTCCTGTCTGCTGAAAAGACAAAGCCTGGGCAATGGTTTCATGGCTGTCTTCTGCCAGCGAGCTGAAGTTGCCTCCTTGCCTTTGTTCTTTTTGTTTTCTGGAGGGGATGAAGGGGAAAGGAAAGCAGCAGAGATCCGTACAGGTTCCTCCTCCTGTATACATAGCAAATTCTCTCAGTTACAAAGCAAGAACAGTAACTCTACCTATAACGACAGCGTGGAACCGTGCATTACTGAGACAATAAACCATTCTACCCTTTATTTTGCTCAGCAGTAGTCACTGAGCTGGCTTGTTATTTGGCAAGTGACATAACTGCAACATTTGAACAGCAAGATTTTGGTGATCCTTCTGTTCTCTGTCCGGTTACATATTCCTTTCTCTTCACACAAAGCTGGCCAGGAAGCATCCTCACAAACCCACAGAAGGAAGGAGGGAAGCTTCCTTCCCTTGGGCTCAGGGGAAAAGTGCAATGCTCTGACTATCAATTCCTGTTGCAATTCTCCGGTGGCAGCAACTGCCTCAGGGTGAATCCTGTCTCAGGCCAGCCACAGGATAGGATCTGCTCTGCTCCTTCTGTCCTGATCCATCCTGCTCCTTCTGTCTGTGTTGCCTTGTGTTTGAATTTAGCTTGCTATTCATTAGAAAAAAAACTTGGAATTGCATCTCAAAGGGCACAGTGCTTCCCAGGCTGCCTCTCCAGCTGGATTTAACTCTTCGGACAACTGGCCCAGACATGGTACTGCCTCCCATTTGATATCCACGCTTCTCATCCAACTAAACGGCTCTGAGAGCAGAGCAGCTCATGTGGGTGCTCTCCAGAGACTGTTCCAGGCAGAATTGCTTTACCTGAGGCAGTGCAATTTGCTCTCTGATGGCTCCGACCTCTGCTTGCTCCTCTGAAGCTCACCAGGTGTCCTGGAGCCTGCACCCCACAGGTCCCCACGCCGAAGGGACGCCAGCAGTGCCTTCTTCCAAAGCAGTGCCTGGGGCTGAGCAGCTGCTGGAGCACTTCAACCACCGCCAAGGCTGGACATCAGAGTCCTGGCCTAACCTAAGTGGTGCTTCCTAAAAAAATGAGGGGCTGAAAAGAGCATGAAAACGAGCAGCCACGTGCGTAAGAGTCCCTTCATTTCTTTTAGAAACAATCCACGCCTGCTCACCTTGAAGGAATTATGGAAGGGCAGCTTTACTCCACAGATCGTAT